TGCTCCAGAGGTTGAGTCTCCATGAGGCTGCAGACTGCAGCCAAGCTTCCTGCTGCGTCTTTCCGTCCCAGAACTTGGAAGGGAGAGGGCTATCACAGGACATGCGTTAACACATCTATTAGGACTGAGAAATGAAGGCAGACTTTTCTGGTTAGCAAATAACCCTGATAGGGCCAATTAGCTTGAAAACAAGCACCAGCTTAGCCAACTAGGTTAAACGATGGATATATTTTCTAAATTGAATGAGTTAAGTCTACAGCTCCAAAGTTTTAATGCAAATATATTTCAGGGAGATGACAAGATAAGGGCACTTATTTTTTTAAATGTATTATCAGAGATATGTTGAATTTTTAATTTCCCAGGACTTTCTGAGTACTTCAGGTTACACAAAGTGCCTCTAAATTAAAAAATAACAGGTACAATGAAGAACCATTTGATAAATCTTGGAAGGCTTTTCTGGAATACATTCCAGAAATTGCAAAAGTGAATGACTCTAATAACTGAATAACAAATCTTTTTGCAAGTCAGTGGTTTCCAATTCTTTGCTTGCAACAAAATTGAAAGAGAGCCCAATCAATTCGTCAACAAGTGGATTCTTAAAAATAAATTCTAACAATAAATTGTGTAATTTTGGTGTATTGCTCAGAAGTTCAAAGAATTAAGATATCTATGTCTATAGATACTATATGTAATGTCTATAACAAAAACTGCTTCTTTCCCATCCCTTGTTTATGTGAATGAGATTACTTACATCTATAAAAATGAAAAATAGGAATATAATTGATACTGAAACCCATCCCATTCTGACAATAAGTAGCGTTCATCCAAAGATACACAATTCAATTAACGGGGGGTGGGGGGGGAACCCTGTCATTTAATAAAAGGAAACATTTCCAACAAAATTTTACCCTTTGAATAATTATCAAAATATATATTTATGCTGTTTATATACTAATTGTAATGTTAGCTCGATCCTGAAGAAATTTTTAATACTTAGAAACTCATGATCATAGAAAATTTGTTAAACCTTATATTTGTCAAACTATATATATTTTTGTGGCACAGTTTGGGTAGATAATGAGACTTCAAAGGATTGAAATATATAAATCAGTATAAAATTCTGTGGTGGGAGAAGAATAAAGAACTTGTTGGAATATACGTTTTAATAGACGATGGTAAATAGCAATGGTTTTTAGATTTCAATAGATTTTCAAAAGAGTAACAGTGTTATTTTAAAACGTTCTTATTGATCAGCTTTTGGTGGCTCAGATGGGTTTTCTGTCAACGGAAGCTGGCTCTTCACTCCCTTTTGGAGTCTTCTTGCTAAGCAGGTGTCAAGCTTTTCAAATACTCAGGCAGTTTTCTCCAAGGATTATCCCGCCATTGAAAATTATCCCCTCAGAGTAGAGCTTCCTCAAAGTACCCCACAAAGCAAGAAATCCTTGCCCTGGAAAGGTGGATATTTGAGGAGGACCAAGCTCTTGAAAGAGGGCATTTCTTTGTGTAGCGGCAGTGCAGACCCCCAAAGTGGCCTTACTGCCTCCTCCCCACCCCCCCACCCCCCACAGGCACAGAGAATATTCTGAGTTGTACAGAAAGGCTCCTGCCCAGGCCTCTCCGCACCAGTCTAAGTTCTTATCCCTCCTCAATATCCGTTTAAAGACCCTGGGGCTTGCCCTGGGTATCAAATCCAACTTGGCCATGATTATAGGAAATGCACACACAGAGCCTGCTATGTGCCACGTACTGTTTTAAGCACTTCACATATTAATCCACTCAATTCACCCCATGCACATGGTCTATTATTATCATCTAATTGATGGGGAAACTGAGGCCTGGTGAGGTAGTGTAATTTGTGTGACTCGGCACAGAGCTTGTCGGGGGTAGAGCTAAGACAGTACCCTACACAGTGTGGGTCCAGATTCCCGACCCTCAACTCTGACGCTCTACTGCAGTATCAACACAGGATGCTCCAGTCCACTCGCTCCACGGCTGACCAAGGGCACTGGTGCTCCCACTAGCAGGGCTCAGCCTCTTGGAAAGGGAAGGTGGGACCGACGTGGGCTCTATGGCTCTTCAGCTGTCCCTTTCGTGTACTGGGCCTGCTTGGATTGATCAAGAGGACTACAAACCCATGGGACTTCATAATCTCAACCACCAGGCCTTACAATGCACACGCTTTAATATCAGCAAAGTGCTTCCAATCTCAGGACTCTCTCCTTTGCCCTGTGGCAATTCATAGTTTTTATAAAGGCCCATCACAATTGCCTATGACACAAAGCTGGGACACCAAGGGGCAAAATCAGCAATCTCCTTCAAGATCCCATCACGACTCAGGGAGCAGTGGGGACGAGACTGTCCCTCTGAAACCCTCCTGGCTGACGCTTCCCCTGAACCAGTGCACCCCACATCGACCACATAGTGCCATTACTCCCATCTTAACCGGTAAGAAGTTAGGAGAAATGAATTGCCTTGCTTAAGATAACAAAGAATTGGTTCTAGAACCTCAAGAGACTCAGATAAATGGCATCAAGAATTGAGAATGAGTCAGTGCCTGGGAGAAAGGAGGCTAATGCAGAAAGGAGGATAGGGATGGGACAGAGATCATCAAAAGCGGCTCTCATCCATATGTGAGGGACAGTTATATGAAGATGTGACAGACAAAAATGAGGGCTTAGCTGTACAAAGAAAAAAAAAAACAAAATAAAGTTTTTATTTATCTAGCTTTCTAGTTTCCTTTAAAGATGTTTTCTCCTTGTTTGTCCTGCATGTAAAGTGTATATGCGAGTACATAAAGAAACAAAATGACAACTCAAAAAAAAAGAATCTTTTAATAAAAATTACTCATAAAAATCCTAATAAATTTCAAAAAGCAAGATATTTCTTAGTACATTTAGAAAAGAACATTTGGTCCTTTTACAAAAAGCTCCCTTTTAATTTAAATACATTTCTTATTTACAGATTAAACATAAAATATCATCTATAGTTGCAAAGCATATTGCACATTACAGAGAGAGAAGCATTTGTATATTTCAATAGGTTTTCCCAGAGTTTCCAACTCTATATTTTTTTGTAAAAACAGATTTACCTTTCTTGTGCATAATAAATAAAAACATAGCTTGTGTTTTGCCATTTAAAACTAAAACAAAATACCTTTAAAAATATTATTTCTCTGCCTCTCAGAAAGAGGGAAGGGGGTAATGAATCAGGAAGGTCCACAGGTACTTAACGTTTTCACCAGATTCACATCCAAATTCAAGCCTGAACATAACCCTGAGCCCTGCAGACCTGGGACACACAGCCCAGCTCGTCCCCCTTCTCACTTGCACAAGGATCCCTGCCCTGCAGGGAAGAGGCATTAGAGGAGCAGCTGGATGTCTGGGAATAGAAAAGGAAAGATCATGATATTTTTTCTAAAGTCCCCGCACAGCCACCCTGGCTCGAGCGATCATTCAGCCCTGTTAGCCGGCACTAAATTTGAAAATGCCAAGAAAGAAAGACCTCTGGAACTCTCCAGAAAGAAGAAAGGAACGTCTGATGTTGAGTCTACAAAATCCAAAGAGAAGAATTACAGTTTGCAATCGTTCAGTAAACTGAGCTAAGAAAATAGCTAAGAGGGTTCTTTTTCTTTGGCAAGGGAGAGAGGGGGATTGAGGGGGGAATCAAGTTCAGGCTCTCAGATTGCCCAACTGCACTTATCCAGCCAGGTCACTACAGGTGTCCTCTAATCTTCCTCTGCACAGACACCTCCGTGGTGCATAAACACAGAGAAAACAATTTAGTGACGTGTGCACACCCCCACGATCCAGGACAGCCTCAGAACCTGGGATTCGGCTACACAGAGCAAGTTCTGGCAGAAGAGCTGGAACAAACTGAAGGAAAGATCTGGAAACGGAAAAGGGATTTTCACAAAGGCCCACACAATTGGAGAGTTAAAAAACACTTCCATTGTCACCTACTCTTCCTGGAAGTGGACGAGTTCCTCAGTCACATCATCTGGAGTGGCAAAGCCTGCCCTGTAAGGATTGAGAACTTGGTGGTGGAGACTTAGACTCCACCAAGACTAACTCCACCAAGCTTTCTACAACGGTTTTGCAAAATCACTTTCATCATGTCGACCAAAGCAGACTCTAGACACTAGCTACACACAGGAAAGCGAGGATGGTGCAGGCTCACAGCTGTTCCAAAGCTGTTCCGTTCCGTTCAGAATCAGGGCGTCCCTGGGGCAAAGCAGTGATCAAGGGAATTTCTCTGACGCCCCCGCCTCAGCCCTCCCCTACCTGATATCTAACAACACAGACTAGAAGGAACAGCAAAAGCCCTGCAGGATGGATCGCAGTTGTTGACATTTTGATTTTCAAAAAGAAAACAAGCAAGCTTTGAACTTGGCTCAGAGAACCTTCTTTTTACAACTGGCACTAGAGAGCATTCTGGAATCTAATCCCACAAACCACTGACTAGGGAGCATCCGACTTGAGAGTGGATAGTCTGGAAGCTCAACAACCAGCACTAGTGTGCAGTAACTCACTCACCCTCAGACTCACCAACTGGTACCAGTCCAGTGCCTGCAAGTCGAGAGCGTTTGAGACTTAACACAAAACATGACTCCTGTCAGCGTGCAGCCCCTGAGGTTCCTCTGAGGCATTTGGTGCTGCCAGGCACAGATCCCTATTCGGAGCAGGAGGAGGAAGAAATGCCCAAGCGGGTGGCAGGTTAAGGGCCCCGATGAGAGGGGGATGTTGGTGTGCTACACATCAGCGTTGTCACAGAAGCTGGAGAGGGAAGCCAGGAGGGCGCCAAGAGAGAAAACAGATGTACGAGGGACCCACTTTCTTCTCTGTGCCCCATTCTCCCAGCTGGGTCCTTTACAATCCCACCTCGACTGCTTGGAGAAATGGTCCAGGGATGCTCGTGTGCGTGTGTGTGTGTTTCTGTTTTTAACATGGGACATTTTAGTTTTACTGAGTCAATGAAAACATTTAAAACATACAGTATTCTCCCAGAAAATTCTCTGTTCAGTAGATGAGACAATGTTGATAAACAGAATGCTTCTGAAATGAAGAAAAAAGGTAAAATAGAAGCATTTGACTTTTTTTTACTTTAAAACAATTTGCATAGTAAATGTTTAAAAGATAGAGGTGACACATTACTGAAAATCCCTTTTTTAAAAAATCTCAAAGAACTGAATTATATACCTATTTTATAGAACAACACAACTTTTCAAGAAGGAATAAAATTTCTCCTGTTTGATAATGCAATGGCATAGAAAGCACTTCTAGTTTTAAAAAGACTAAAATGAAATCATTTGAAGTGTGCAAGGAGTGACAGGTGAGCAACATGATAAATGAGGTTGGTGGTTTTTAAGAGACTTTCTGCCCTTTCTATTGGGATTCATTTCAGCCTCTGAAGTTACACAGCAGCCAGGCTAGGGTTCAAATCCACCTCTGCTTTGTATGAGTGCTCAGCCCAATTTCAAAGAGGGATACTCCAGTTCTGGCTGAGAAAATAACAAAAAACACAGAAGGCATTTTAGCACAACTTCCTCCTTATACATGCTTGCTTAAAATATCAGGTTGAAAGGCAAGGACTGGCCAAGATATTTCCAGAATCTAATAACTAATACCCATCTTGTCCCCCTTTCACTGTGGTGCCACCATGTGGCAACACAAAACTAGCCTGCTAAGACCACAGCAGCAGCTGGCACATCCAGTGGCTCAAACCAAAATCGTATAAGGCACTCATCTAAAGCCTGTATTACACAGAGAAATGGCTCAAGGATGCCAGAAAGTCCTCTATCATTTCTTTCTCCCTGACTTAGCTAATTGGCACTAGTCACAAGAAACAAAAACAAAACAAAATTCTAACCCAAACACGGTCAGAATTGAGAATCCTTGGTTAGCAAATACGAGACAGATGGAAGCTCAGACAATCTTATGTATTTTTCTCTCCCTAAAAGGCACCTGGTTCTGGAACTGTGGCGTTCCTCAGGTAAGTTCCAAATAAAGGTAAAATACCATCCAAAAGATCTACCTGTTAACCTCTTAAACCGTGATGTGACAACATAAGAGACTGCCTGTTAGAATTTGGATAAAACCATTATTCATAAGCAAATAATCTGTAACACTGTGAAGATTACTTGGGGCACAAGTGAGTAACGGGACGATTGTTTCCCCATGTGATCAAAAATCATGGGTGGATATCTGGGGGAGAGCCCCATCATCCAACAAGAGAGAGAACGGACAACAAAACACAATAAAGAGGAATGCCAAGTGAACCTCAGGCTCTTTTGCACAGAAATTCCATTCACAATCCCCTCACAGAGAGGGAGCAATACTGCAGTCACAGTGAGTGCTGGCCACGGGAAGAGACCTGCTGGATTCCAGAGTCTGAAGCAGTGAAAATCAATCCAAGAATGCCCCATCCACTGCGCTTAATAACATCAGCATGTCACAAGAAGACAACTTCTATGGGCCTTCTCACTTCAAATTATATCCTTAAGAAATACAGGGCATTTTATTTGAACAGAAGAGAAACACTAAATTATCTAAGATTTGACTACTAGATGTGGGTGAGGAGCTAAACAGAAATTCCTACACCATCACGGACAGCCAGACTTCCATCCTCTCCCACTTGAGACCGGATCTTGGCCTGGGCTCAGCTGTTTAGGTCCAGTTTCAGAGGAGGCCACGCAGAGGAGAGCCGATCAGATCAAACCAACCATCTGGTCAATCTGCCGCATGTAGATGCTCTTTAAGGGCAGGGAGTACCTCCTCTCGTCAGGAACCCGATTGCACTAGAAAGAAAAAAATGAGAGAAAATGTGAACTCCGAGTTAAAAGTCCATGTGTCACTTCCTCAGGAAATGTGGTTGAATGACCTAATCTGGGGTTTCTCAGCCTGGGCACTGTTGACATTTGGGGCTGTAGGATGGTGAGCCACATCCCTGGCCTCTCCCACTAGATGCCCCCCCCCGACCCATACCTCCCAGTTGTGACAAATAAGATTGTCTGCAGATGGTGCCCAACATCCCTTGAGGAGCAAAGGCAGCCCCAGTTGAAGACCATTGAGGTAATTTAACACCCTCACCTCACAGGGGAAGAAATGAGAGCCAAGGAGGCTGAAAGACATCATGCACGGGCAGAGTGGCCAGGACTAACAGCTGCATCCCTTGGGTCCTTAATCCACCCCAAACTTCAGAAAATGCTTTAGCTATTTGAAAACACTGTGGTTTTTCTGAGTTGACAGTTCTTCTCATCCACAGCTAAAACCTAAATGCTTAAGACTGCTATCTTTTGTTGTTGTTGTTAACTAAAGGCTTTCTTTCCCCTCAAAAGTGATACAAATTTGAGAAGCAAACATGTTATTTGGAAATAGTTTCCACATACATTCATTACATGCTCTTCCCCAAAGAACCATGTTCCCACTGCTCTGTACTTGAACTCACTATACCGGCTCCTCATCCTTGCAAGATCAAGACTCACAGGTCCTCCAGTTGATCCCAACCACTCCCCTGACCCCGGTGCTTTTGTAGGTGCTGTTCCTTCTGCCTGAACGTCCCTTCCTGAGAAGCTCCTCATCCTTCCAGGATCTACTGCAAAGCAACCTCCTCAGTGAAGCCCTCCTTATTTTCCCTGGCAGATTAATTCCTCCCTCCTTTATGTTTTAACAGCATTTCTCACAGACCCCTACTGACATATGCCTGGGGAGAACCAGTCTCCCTACCAGGCCATGAGCCTAATCCAGAATCAGGACCCCTCTGATCAGCCCGCATCCCCAGTGTCTGGCACAAGGGGATCAGGTCTATTAGATGAGTGTCTCCTTTGGTCCAAATCCTGGCTCCACCACACGGCTCTACTGTGTGACCTGAACCTCTCTGTGCCTCCCTTTTCTCATCTATAAAGTGGGAATATTGAAAGTACCTATACCTCATGGGGCTGTTGTTGAGAAGTAAATAAGTCAACGTACGTGAGCATTGAGAACAGTGCCTGGCATATGGTAAGCGTTATAAATAAATATTGGCTGTTATTATTATTTCTCCCTTTAACTCACCTTCTTTTTCCTTCTCAATTATGCTTTGTTCACTTAATCTACACTCCATGGCCTCATGGAAACTTGGGGGACTTTGCTCTGCTCTGGCCTGTGAATGTAGTTCATAGACTAAAGACCTTCAACGAGACACTACAGGGAAAGTCCTGAAGCACAGTCTGGGATGAAAGGGTGTCCCCTAACCAAGGCAGGCTGGGGGTGGGTGGTAGGACTCTCGACAAGTGAGGCTTTTTCTGAGAAGAGAGATGGCATCTAATGCATTGTGGGATAATAAGGTTTGATATTTCAACTGACACAGGGTCCATTTCCCCATCCTCACTTCCCAACCATCCTATTTGATTCAAGTCAATATAACTAGCTGAGACTGCTACTACAGACTCAAGGATTGTGTTTCCAAACCTTTCCACTGCTTATCAGGATAATGTAGGCATGCTCAGTGTGGCCCTGCTTTAAATGAAACTGGGCACTTACTGCCCTTCAAGAGCATCTTCAGTAAAAACACAATGACTAATGACTGCTATTTTCCCTCTCCTACTGCTGGGTGATTTTGCGGGATCCCTTCCATTTGCCCCTCTGGATCCACTCTCCACCCTTCTCCACCCTGCTCTAGCATCGTATCTGGATTCTATCAACAGGTTCTCTTGCCCTCTGGCTTCTGGTGGGCATAGCCAATGAGAAGCTCCAGCAGATCAGAGGAGACAAGGAGGCTCAGATATTCACTCTATTGGCTCCCTTCCTGCAAGGTCACTGAAGCCAGCTCAGAGCAGCGGCTCCTGCCAGGAGGCTACCCCCTCCCACACGCCTCTCTCCATCCAGGTTCCATGACCACAAACTCCACTGGCCCCTTCAGCCAGGAGTGATGTCACTGCTCCCATGGTATTCCCGTGGTACACCCTCACGACACCTACCTAAATGGCCTCTCTGTGAAACTCTTCTCAAATTACCCAATCTGAGTGTGCCATCAATTTTCTGTCAGGAACTATGGGTGACAAAGTAATTGGTGGTATTTTCTCTTCCTCCACATACAAACCACCCCTGGAAAAAGCAACTTACATTGGAGCTGGAGTTGATGACTTTTAACTCGTGAGCTTTAGGCCTGTGCATGGACTCTCCCTCTTGGTCCTGCCCTCCCACTTCAGAAAAGAATTCCTTCCAGGGTGATTCCCGAAGATGCTTGTCCACAGATACAATGTGTCCCTCCGTTGTAAACATGTATCTGGTTCCAGATTTGTGGACTGGATTCTCCTCATCAAATAGCTAATGGGAAAGAAAAAGAAAAAAGATACAACTGGTCATAGTAGCACGTTTGGAACTAACTCATAGGGTGCTATGTCCCATACCATGCAGGGAGCAGAACTGTGCTTGGCCCTCAGGCTTTTCAGTGACAAATGGGTAAAAAGGCATCAATTAACAACTGTGGTTCCCAACAGTCGTTGACTACAAGGCAGAATCACCAGTTTTGTTTAAACTCAGATGCCTGGACTTACCCCACCCCAGACCTAGAGATTCCAAAGCCCAGGGCTGAGATCCAAGCACCAGTAGTCTGTAAAAGCCCTCTGGATGATCCATCTACGCTCCCCCAAGAGTTCTTGTGCTAGAACACTAGAACTACCCCCACGTCACACACAGCTAGGCCCTAATGCTGGAGGGAAGAAGGTGCACGTTTCATCCTTCACCGTATCCCCAGGGCCTAGCAGGGAGTCTGACACCTGTGCAGCATTCAGTTCATTCCTGTGTGAGAACACGGGCCGGGCTCTGAGGGCGCAGGCCATGTGCGCCGGTCCTTTCCTTCAAGAGTGGGCGTGGTGGGGATGAAAGAGGGGCAGCGGGAGCAGCCAGAAAGAACACCTCACCAATACGGGGCAGGTCGGTGCGGGCAGAAAGCAGGTGTCCAGTAAATGGTGAATGAGAGAACACTCAGAAGCAGAAATCTCAGAGATGGAAGAAACCTTACAGTCACCTCAGGTATTTTACAGATGAGGAGAAACAAGACGCAGCGCAGCTTGTCCGTGTTTACACAGCTAACAGGAGAAGAATGGGATAGGCCTCAGGTTTTCTCCTCCTAGACTCTGAGTTCCTTCCCCTAGAACACCCTAGAGGATCCCCTTCCCTCACTCCAGAACTCATCCTGTGAACATCCCAATACCAACGGCTGCTGGACGGGGGTGCAGGCCAGCCTCTGACCAGCCTGCTTCAGCCGACCTGCCCCCGCCATGCTGCACTGTGAGTAAGGACTCGCACACCACGGGACTCAGCAGCAGGACAGCCGTCTTCCCACTGCCTGGACTACAAGGCCTGCTGGTGGGCACACCTCCTCTGCAGCCTTCTGCGGTAAAAAGTGGTGCCAGATGCAGAAGTGTCATCTTAAAGGATTAGATCAGTACTTCCAAAATCTGGCTTTGTACAAAATCATGAGCCGTTCACCAAACCACAGAATCCTGAGCCCACTTCTAAAAACTGATTCAACAGAGCCATGATTTTAACAAGGGCCCTCAGGGGATTCTGATCTAGCTGGCCCCAGGGCTGGGGAACCGCTGAACTAGATAATACAAGTGTCACTACTGATCCATGTCTTTGAATCTCAGCCCAAGTTCTCAGTCTCCATGCTGTCTCCTCACCAGGAAATCCTGACCCTCTGTGCCTTGAGGAAGCGTCCTTTCATATACAGCCAGACTGAGTCCAGTGGCAGAGAGGGAAGGAGTGGCTACGCACACAAGCGCACAGACACCATGCGTGCATGTGACAGAGTGGTAAAGTCGAAAGAGCACTGGAGAAGGAGTCAAGACCAGGATTCAAGCTTCAGCTCTGCCACGCAGTCACCCCGAGAACCCAGGCAAGTCACCTGACCTCTCAATGTAGACTGCAGTTCCCATGAGGGGAAGAATCAACAACAATAAGACGATCCCCTAAGGTTCCTTCCAGTTCCAAAAATTCTCTGTCTCTCTCTTCAGACATGAGAATGTGCCTAGGGCCATAGAGCCAGCTGGGCTGTGGGTCTCAGCCAAGATCACTCACGTCAAGAGAAGGAAGAGCTATAGACACAGCTCTCTTCCTCAGGGAAGCCTTCCTCACCACCATGCTGACGCGAGCCCTCCATCAACCATTACCACATTTGGCACAGTTTGTAATCTTACATTCGTTGTTTGTTTACCTGACATTGCCTCCTCCATGATGAGGTTAGAAACCATGGAGGAAGACAGCCACATCCTTTTGTTCTGAGATCGCTGTGTCCTGGGCCAGCACAATGGCCGGCATGGAGCACTGCCCAGGAAATACATGCCAGATGGAAGACTGCGTGAGCGCCTGCTCCAGGCAGTAGTAAACATTTCTTGGGTTAATCTTACAAGACACATACCAGATACAAGTATTTACAGGTCTCGCTGAGGAAGAAGCTCTCCATCCGGTCCTCTTTGGATTTGTCTATGACGTGATGCAGCGTGGCATACCCACACCTATAAAACAATCTTCCTGTTAGTCCTGTCTCTATTCCTCCCCACCTGCCTATTTACGTAAGAAGAACAAGTAGTCTATTAACAGAATAATCAATCAAATTATCAAATCCCGTATGAAAAACAAACTACATTAGGTTTAAGGGCTATCCTTTATTAGCCTAGATCGTCTACAAATTCATTTAAAAAGTGGTTTGGTTGCTAAATCATCAGGTTAGTTGTAGGGGGAAACGGGTGGGAGGTGCAGGGTGTTTGCCAAAAGCATAACAAGACACCAAGAAAATGACTGGCAACAAATTCAAAAGGACTGATTTAAATTTTTTGTCCCAATATTTGCAGAACTGACTTATCATTTGGGTAGTCTAAAACAGTATTTTTTAAGAGAAAACTTATGATATACTGCTAGGTGAAAAAAGCAGGTCACAAAATTGAAATATAGATTTTTTAATCTATACATATATACACACATTATATATATAAATATATAAAAGAGACTCTAAGTATTCATACTTAAATGCTGATTGTGGTTACCGCTGCACGTGGAGATTACAGTGATAATATTCTACCTCTATATTTTCTGTACTCAAACTTTTTAATGTATGTACAAATAACTAGGGGAAATAAGTTACTTAAACAAACACACATAGTCTGCGGGAACCTTACATAAAAAAAGGTAAAAAAAAAAATAAAAAGCAATTCACACTATAATGGACAGGTTCTACCACACAAAAAGTAAGCAATTTCCCTACAAAATTAACATTAATGACCTGTTCCATAAATTAAAATGCAAAATAGAGTAATATTTCCCAGAACAACTCAAAATAAATCAAAAGTGGCCAACAGAAAAAGGAAGAAACTTAGATAACTAACTTGACTTTTGTGTACTTTTCCAGACTCTGCAGAATATCCATTCCTACATGGAGGTAGAAGGGATTCTTGGTTGCCTAGAGAGAACATGAGAGAACGTGATCCAGCAAGGGCCTGGAAGACAAGCCATCAACAAACATCACGGTGACCGCAGGAATTTCCCGAGGAGATGAGTCACTAGCCGAAAGAAGGCACAGCACCCAGTTCACTTCATCTTGAAGGGTCATGAACGTTAAAGGTCTGAGGTATTCTGTCAGCTCACGTCAAAGCGCACCTATGATCTGTTTAACTTTAACCTGGTTGAGACAATCTGCTCCAGGGTAGAACAATACTCTGCTTTGGCTCTCCTGATCCCCATCATGATCAGAAATGAAACAACACCTCACTGACAGTACCATCTCTAAGAAGAAATCCAGTTTCTATCTTGCCTCAGAACTCTCTAGAAACTTAAGATACAGGCACAGGGAAAGAGGACCTTGCCCCCATTATTCTACTTTCAGCATTGTGAGGAAAGGCTAATAGGAAGAAGACGACTTTCAAAAGTATCTAAAGGAGGCCTCCACACTTAGCTCTCTAATCGCCTAGGAACTCACTCCTTGGGCTGCTTACTCTTCTGTTACATGCTCCTAGGTGGTTTCCTTACAGAAAAAAATTCTCTGGGAAGATGAGACTTTTACCCCACAAATAGTTTAAAAATTCGGGTTCATCTTTAATTCGTGCCAAGTGTCAACCTGCAGCAGCAAAAGCAAACTACTAAAAGGTGAGCTGTCTCTGGATGAAGAGAGCACAGGGAGTGGCTTCAGAAGGCAAAGCCGTAAAGCTGAAGATTTCTCTGGAATCTAAGAAAACAGTCACTGTGAGGAAGAAGCTGAAAATAAGAAAGAAGTGGTGACAGAAATTAAGAGGTATAAACCCAAAGGCAACAGACCTAAGCTTAAGAGGAGAACTTGGACAACACCAGGCATGTCATCCTCAAAGAGTGTATGCCAACTGTACACTGAGTTCAGGGAGGCAAAGTCAGAGGCTGTCCTTTCCCTCTTCTGAGAGGTTATCTAAAACTCATGAGGTCTCTCATTAGGCATGAGCACTATTATCAGTTTCATAGGACCTCTCCCTTTTTCATCTAGAAGCAAGTAGCAAGGATTCAGTATCAACAAATTATTGAATAAATCTAAACCACAGTACTAAACCTACTACCAAAGCTCATAAAAATAAGGGCCTGCCCACGGCAGGTGTCTGTTACAGGTTTACTGGGCTGCACTGAAGGCCAGCTTCTTGGAAAGTGAACAGCTCGTGCTGCTGTATTTGTGAACGGATGAGGACTCTCAGTGTGTATATATGTATGGCAGGCACAGAAGTATAAATATCTGCCTTAAACTATGGGGGAGAACACTTTTCATAGTTAAATTGACATTCCCTCTGGCACTAAAGTAATTTCATGAAAGATGAACATTATATTTTTTTAGCATTAAACAAAAATAGGCATTCAGATGAATCCAAGATGATTTCCTTTACAACCAAGAAAAATAATTTTTTTGTCTGAATAATTATTACATAGACCAGTGTTCCACAATACATTAGTACAGAATTGCATCTCAAGAAAAGAATTCTTTGATCAAATAAATTTGGAAAACACTGAATACCAAATCTTCCTTCTGATTACTTAAGGATGTGAGAAATAAACCCTACAGTAAAGACACGATTCAGCTTTGCAGAATGTTAGGTTAAAAAACGTATGTGACCGCAGACGCCTTCCCTGTCCTGTGGACCAATGAATGACACTAAACACTACCAAGACTATGGATAGATGGTAACTCTATCAGAGTCACTATGAAACAACACAATTCTACATCAGTCATCAAATGTTCACTAAGAACCAACTGCCACAGGTCCTCCTAGTGTTTAAATACAAACTACTGTTGAACAAACTCTAGTACCTGGTAGAGGAGATATGTCGATTCCACTAATTCTGGTCTCAGCGGGTAGAAGAGCACGTCAGGAGCCTGTAGCTGCCAGTTATACCTCTCAGGGAGGGCCCCATATCGCTTCCATATGGCATAGTAAAAGGCATGGAGGCAGATGGCATCTTCCACGTCTCCTATCAGAACCTAAGGAGAAGACACAGGGCACCAAGCTAAGACACTTTTCCCAGAGTGGCAAGACACGAAGGCCCTGGGCTCTCCCTCTACCCCCGTTTCTCATCTGACCTACAAGCATGACTGGAGATAAAACCAACCCAAAAGTAGCAACCCAGGCAAACAGATGCTCTCCTCGTCTGGCCATCAACGCCAAATTGATGTCAACTGCATAGGACAAGAGGTTAATTGTACTCATGAACAAAGAATAGACAACTGAGAGATGGGTCCTCCAAAAATCACACGCGGCTACTTTTCAAGCGTGGTTTTGCAATTATTTAATGGCTCTGTTCAATATTCTGGGGACTAATTTCACAGAGTAACCAAGACATACTGTGCGAAATAACCTCCCAAATCCAAAGCAACCAGAGAACACTCTGGTATCATAAAAAGAAGAGAGAGAAAAAAAAAGCTCTTTCCAGTGATAGCTTTTTCTTAGCGAATATGACTGCAAACTACCTGCAGTCCGGGAAAGAAGGCCTGCAGAGAGTCAATCCAAGTGTTCATCAGCTGCCCACTGAACATGTTCACGTTGACATACAGCGGAGGGTCTCCTTCCCCTTCGTTACAGGCTTCCCGGCTGAGGAGCCAAGCAGAGCGGTCACAGGTAAAGAGAAAGATCACTGACAGGACACCACCTCCACTTCTCCTGCAGCCCCTGGTGGTTTAACTGAAATGAACTTTTCCTCCTCCCTCGTTCTCTAAACCTCAGGAGACAGACTGCCTCTACCTGTCCATACTAGACTCTAGCATCAGATAACACCTACCATAGAACCAAAGTTCTAAATTCAGCCATTGTAACACAGCAGGATTTCACTGTATTTTTCAGAAAGCACTTTGACATTCAGATTTAAAAACAATGCCATGTAATAGAATTTTGTGTACAGCATGGGTCTACGTTGGATTTGACCTGAGTGGGGAAGCCTGGTTATTTCTACACAAAAAAAGAGTCTCTTCTCTAATAAGGTCCTACACCAGGGGCCTGGAGGACTTCATCAGAGAAGGGCACTCAGGGATTACTACTCAATTTAGTTTGGGGCTTTAAAAAGCAAAAATGACTGAACTCTGGCCAAACAACCTCTTCCTAAAACATAGCACTCACACAAGTAGTCCCTACCAAGGCTAATGTGGCAATGGATCCAAGAAAATTCTATCACGCAGGAAGCTCATTAGCTATCGCTTGCACTGGCCATTAGCCTGGAGAAGAGAGAGGTGATGTCAGGGTAGAAGTCACGATAGCTTCGAATGGTACTCTCTCTCCTGCCATCCTGAAGGCACAAGTGAGAAGGAGCAAATAATGGTATTTTAAACAAACATAGAGGGAAAAAAATGTGGTAACTGTTCTTTCTCTCATCAGGTATAAAGCCCAATCCTAACAATTCTCTGGAAAGTAAAAGAACCAAAACAACTCAACAACTGTCCTGCATTACAGCTCTATCTACAATTAAAGCCACAGGTAAACACAGGGATATGTCACCCCTTGTGGCAGCCAGTCTCCAAGATGGCCCCCAGTGACCCCTGCCTCCTGGTAGTCACACCCTTGAGTAGTCCCCTCCCACACTATATCAGGGCTGGTCTGTATGGCCAATAGAGTCAGGCTTTGTCACTCCAAGATTAGGTCATGAAAGCACGTGGCTTCCACTGTGCTCTCTTCCTTTCTATTTCTCTCAGATCATTTGCTCTGGGGGAAGCCAGCTGCCATGAGCTGCCTACAAAGAGGCCCACGTGGCAAGGAACTGAGACCTCCAGCCAAGAGCCAGTGAGGAACTGAAGCCTGCCCATCACCACAGGAGTGAGCCTGAAAGCGGATTCTCCAGTCCCATTCGACCCTTGTCACGGCTGTAGCCCCCAATAATAGCTTGATGACAACCTCCTGAGAAACCATGGATCAGCTCAGCTGCTCGTGGCTTCCCGACCCTCAGAAACTGTGTGACATCTTTGTTGTTTTAAGCTACCAAATTCTGGAATAATTTGTTATGCAGCAGTAGATAGCTAATATACCTCTTCATCCCCAAATGACTGATAAACAACTAGGAGGCAGTAAGGTGAGGGCAGAGACCAACAGACCCTGTGAATTTATGTTGAGAAAAATAGGAACTTTTCAGAATGCATTCTATTTGCTTTACACAGCAAGAGAAGAGATGTTAAGGAGACATACCCTCTTCTTAAGTAGTTCTGAATACTCTGATATGCAGCATTAAACATCTCTAGGTCTTCTTTTTCTCCAAAGAGAATATAAGATTTCAAGAGGTATTCATAGAAGGAGTCTAATCCAGCACCCAAGCCACTCTGCTTTCCAACCCAATGGCCCGTCTGAATGTTCACAACATTGCCTGCAAAAACAAACAAGGCACTTCAGATCCCAACTATCTTGGGAGGAAGAGGCCTCCTAGTGCAGCCCCAGTGCTCTTCAGGACCTTTGTCCCTGACAGGTAAGGGAAGGAATGAATGCTTGGCCCTCAAACGTTTGTCAGTCCTGTCAGTAGCATGGAGAGCCAGGAGATCTTTCTGAATATAGTGTGTAACCACTGACACAAAAAGGGGCAAAACATTTAACGCAAAAGAAAAACAGGTTTGTCATTTTGCTTTCCCAGACTGACAACACATTTCAAAAGCCAGAAGAGTGTTCACAGCTTTTGATCCAGTACCGCCATTCCTTGAAATTTATCCTAAAAAAAAAAGCTTTTAAAAAGAAAAAGTATTACATTATTCATAGAGAATTATCTGTAAAACAGGGAAAAAAAAAAAAAAACCTATAGAAATTATCCAAACATTCAACATCAGAAGAGGTAATGGACTGTCAAGTAGCTTTTAAAGACAATAACTGTGAAAACAAGGTAACGACTTGAAAATACTTGAATGACTTGCCAAAAGTAAGGTTAATAAAAACGTTTATGTTGTATTATACTTTGAAAATATACAAAAGTTGCACATGCCAGGCTGAAAGGACCTATGGAAAGCTGAAAATTTGACAATTTGGGATGACATTGGTTAACCATTTGGTGTTGGGCGGACAATTTGGGCGACTTTTTTATTTCTACTGATATTGTAAAATAAAACAAATGTCAATAAATGTAAGAACTTAAGGAATAATCAAAAATCTCTTTTACAAAACAGTGCTTTTGCAGAGTGAAGTCAGCATCATGGCAGAGTGAGCTTCCCCCTTAGACTCTCCCTCCCTAAGATACAACAAAAAGGACATTCATATACCAACAGAGGACATTCACACAACACAAAAGACATCTGAGAGACCCACGCAGCCTTACATCTGAAGGTGGAGGTGCTGGTAACCCCGGAGGAAGTGAAAGGAGGTAAGGAGAACTCCTCTCCTTCCCCAATGACAGCGACCCTGGTACTGGGACTGCGCAGCTCTCTGAGAGAGATGGGGGAGGGGCAGCCCTCCATGGGAAAACCGTCACTCTCCAAGTTCTCTCACAGTCCCATACAGAGGGGACTGAACTGTTGCGGGGGTGTATTCATCAAGCTAGCACCCCAGGAGAGCAGAGAGTGAGGGAAGAACAAGAAGCCACCGGGATCGGGCAGGTAAAAGAAAGAGCCCCTCCCCCAGCCCAGAGCACCAGCACAGCCGGTCGGCCAGAGCACCTGCGGATCACAGAGGGCTCAGAATACATAGCTTTTGACCCCCATCCAGTGGCGGCAGGTGGAAGCTGCAACCACATATTTTCAGAATGAGGAAAAATAAGCCCACAACCTCCAGGAGTACACAAAAATATATTAAATCTCCAGACCAGCAGGAAAATGACAAGCACCCAGAAATCAATCCTGAAGGCACAGAAATCTATAACCTAAACGACAGAGAATTCAAAATAGCTATCATAAAAAAGCTAAATGAACTACAAGAAAATAGAGATAGACAATTCAATGAAATCATGAACTTCTTCACAAAAGAGATTGAAACTATAAAGAAAAACCAATCAGAAATGTTGGAAATGAAAAACACAATGGAGGAGATAAAGAAAAATCGGGAATCTTTAAAGAACAGAGCTGACGATATGGAGGAAAGAATCAGCAATATTGAGGACAGGAATGCAGAAACGCTCCAGATGGAGGAGGAGAGAGAACTAAGACTAAAAAGAAATGAAGAAATTCTCCGAGAAATATCCAACTCAATTAGGAAATGCGATATAAGGATTATAGGTATTCCAGAGGGAGAAGAAAGGGAAAAAGGAGCAGAGAGCTTGTTCAAAGAAATAATAGCTGGGAACTTCCCAAACCTAGGGAAAGAACTGGAAATACCAGTGAACGAAATCAATAGATCTCCTAAATATATCAACAGGAAAAGACCCTCTCCAAGGGTATAGTAGTAAAACTGGCAAAAGTCGATGATAAAGAAAAAATATTAAGGGCAGCAAGACAAAAAAAAAATAACATACAAAGGAATCCCTATCAGGCTTTCAGCTGATTTCTTAGCAGAAACTTTACAGGCTAGGAGAGAGTGGAATGACATATGCAAAAATCTGAAAGACAAAAACTTTCAGCCAAGAATACTCTATCCAGCAAAACTTTATGGTAACCACTAAGCAAATAATCAGAACAGAGACACACATGATAAATAAAGAGAAAACTAAGAAAACCATCATACGGAACTACCAAACTGAATTGGTAGTCCGAAATACACAGGATGAGAAACAAAGGAAATGCAGAAGAAATGGAAAACGAGTGATAAAATGGGAGCATTAAGCCCTCATATATGAATAATCAGTCTAAACATAAATGGATTGAATTCTCCAATCAAAAGACACAGAGTGGCAGGATGCATTAAAAAGCAAGACCCAACAATATGCTGCCTCCAGGAAACACATCTCAGCAGTAAGGACAAACACAGACTCAGAGTGAAAGGATGGAAGACAATACTCCAAGCTAATGGCAAACACAAGAAAGCAGGTGTTGCCATACTTATATCAAACAAAGTAGACTTCAACATAGAACAGGTAATGAGAGAAAAAGAGTGGCAATATATAATGATAAAAGAGACACTCCACCAAGAAGACATATCACTTATAAATATATATGCACCCAACACAGGAGCACCAAAGTACATAAAGCAACTATTAACAGACCTAAAAGGAGATATTAGCAACAACACAATAACAGAAGGGGATCTTAACATCCCACTTACATCAATGGATAGATCATCCAGGCAGAAAGTCAATAAGAAAATAGTGGACTTAAATGAAAAACTAGAAGAGATGGTCTTAATAGATATAGAGAGAGTACTCCACCCAAACACAGCAGATTACACATTCTTCTCAAGCGCGCATAGAATATTCTCAAGAATAGACTATATGTTGGGAAGCAAGGCAAGCCTCTACAAATTTAAGAAGATTGAAATCATAACAAGCATCTTCTCCAACCATAATGCTATGAAACTAGAAATCAACTACAAGAAAAAAACTAGGAAAGTGACAAAAATGTGGAGACTAAAGAACACAATACTGAATAACCAATGGATCACTGAAAAAAATTAAAGGAAAAATAAAAAAATATCTGGAGACAAATGAAAATGAAAATACACCATACCAACTCATATGGGATGGAGCAAAAATGGTCCTGAGAGGGAAACTCATAGTGATATAGGCCCACCTTAACAAATAAGAAAAATCCCAAATGAGCAACCTTAAAACTAGACCTAACAGAATTAGAAAAAAAGAACAAACAAAGCCTAGAGAGAGCAGAAGGAAGGAAATAATAAAAATTAGAGCAGAAAAACATGAAATTTAAACCAAAAAAACAGTAGAAAAGATCAATGAAACAAAGAGCTGGTTCTCTAAGAAGATAAACAAAATTGACATACCCTTAGCCAGACTCACTAAGAAAAAAAGAGAAAAGGCTCAAATAAATAATATTAGAAATGAAAGAGGAGAAATTACAATGGATACCATCTAAATACAAAGGATTATAACAGAATACTATGAAAAACTAAATGCCAACAAATTGGACAATCTAGAAGAAATGGATAAATTCTTAGACTCATACAACCTCCCAAAACTGAATTAAGAAGAAACAGAGAATCTGAATAGACAAGTGACAAGTAAAGAGATTGAAACACTAATCAAAAAGCTCCCAGAAAATAAAAGTCCAGAACCAGGTGGCTTCTCTAGAGAATTTTACCAAACATTTAAAGAAGATTTAATACCTATCCTTCTCAAACTATTACAAAAAATAGAGGAAGATGGAACACATCCTAACACATTCTATGAGGCCAACAGCACCCTGATACCAAAGCCAGACAAACACAATACAAAGAAGGAAAATTACAGGCCAGTATCACTGATGAACATAGATGCAAAAATCCTCAACAAAATATTGGCAAACTGAATACAGCAATACATTAAAAAGATCATACACCATGATCGAGTGGGATTTATACCAGGGACACAGGGATGGTTCTCATCCGCAAATCAATCAATGTGATACACCACATTAACAGAACGAGGAATAAAAACCACATGATCATCTCAACAGATGCAGAGAAGGCATTTGACAAGATCCAACAACCATTTATGATAAGAACTCTCAAGAAAATGGGTATAGAAGGAGGGGGCTGGCCCAGTGGCGTAGCGGTTAAGTGCACACACTCCACCCAGGTTCAGATCCCGGGCACACACCAATGCACTGCTTCTCAGGCCATGCTGTGGCAGTGTCCCACATAAAGTGGAGGAAGATGGGCACAGATATTAGCCCAGGGCCAGTCTTCCTCAGCAAAAAGAGGAGGATTGGCATGGATGGTAGCTCAGGGCTGATCTTCCTCACAAAAAAAAAAAAAAAATGGGTATAGAAGGAAAGTACCTCAACATAATAAACACCACATATGACAAACCCACAGCCAACATCATACTCAGTGGGGAAAAACTGAAAGCCATTCCTCTGAGAACAGGAACAAGACAAGGGTGCCCACTTTCACCAACTTTATTCAACACAGTACTGGAGGTTTTGGCCAGAGCAATTAGGCAAGAAAAAGGAATAAAAGGAATCCAAATAGGCAATGAAGAAGTGAAACTTCATCACTGTTTGCAGACAACATGATTTTATATATAGAAAACCCTAAAGAATCCACTGGAAAACTATTAAAAATAATCAACAACTACAGCAAAGTTGCAGGATACAAAATCAACTTAGAGAAATCAGTTGCATTTCTATACTCTAATAACGAACTAACAGAAAGAGAACTCAAGAAGACAATCCCATTTACAATCGTAACAAAAAGAATAAAATATCTAGGAATAAAGTTAACCAAGGAGGTGAAGGACCTATACAATGACAACTATAAGACATTATCGAGAGAAATCAATGATGACATAAAGAAATGGAA